TCTTATGCTATAGACTTGTATCATTAAAATCATTGTCAAAAATAATTTTTTTACAATCTAAAAAATATTTTCTGGCTTTAAATAACCTGCAAAAAGGGTTGATAAACCGTAGAAAACTGATCAATCGGTCAGTTCTTCATTAACTTCATGTATTTTTATATTTCGTTCGAGTGCTGAAAGAACAAAGATAGGGCTGATATGAAATTGTAAAGAAGTATGAATTACGGACGATGATGGGTATGTGCTTAATCACATAAATACAGTAGTAAATACTGTATGTTGGTCTGCAGTTGGAGATTCGTCTCCACCTGTGCTGGTCAAACTCTCTGGCTCCGGGCAGAGAGGATCTCCAGACGAGGCTATGTCGAAGAGCAGACTCGTCCTGGGAAACAGCTACCAGACCCTGTTTTATATGGGGTCTACGGGGAATTTTTGGCCGAACCTACGGGCTCGGATACCCCACATTAAATTCGGCCTTGCGCCACATCTGACCGCGTGGATCGGTTGGTAGATATCCTGCAGTTAGAGATGTATTGTTGAATTCACTTGACTCACTTCTTCTACGTACCGTTGGCGAATCTTATATGTGTTGTTCGTGTCCTAAGTATTAGCGTTTATTACCAACCTTCGTGTAATTATGCTATTCAGTAACATTCCCTAGGTTACAACAAATTACTTGAAGCAAGGGGAATAGCGTAATCGGGAGAGTCATGAGAGGACATTAGATAGTCAAAAGTTTGAATAATTTCCTGGGTGTATATACTTCAATCTATTCGATCTGTTGTTCGCCGCATGATCGTTATGGATAATGTTATAGATGGCTAAAGGGTACTTAACTGAAACATTGTATCTATAATAACATCTACAGTGATCGAAGAGGAAGCAGTTGTTGTAACAAATGAAAGTATATTGATTATTCTTCACAGAAATGCTGGCCTGAAGAAAGAAACGAAAAACTTCCTTTGAAGGTTATTTTCCTGGCTTGAGAGTTTATATGTACCAAGTAAGAAAAAAAAAAAAAAAAAGATATGAAGAAATAAAAGAGTCTAAAATAACAGCGACAGGGGGGTGAAGTGAGCGAGGTTGGTGGTGTTGAAGGTTGCAAAGTTGAATGAAACTCATATTCATAATACCTAACGTAATGGGGGTATCGGTTAAAACTACAACAAAAGTGGTTAGACCATTCCTCCCACCCAGCACAATCGTAATAAAACCGGGAAGCTCAGCATGTCTAAAGTACATGCAAAAATAAATTAAGGTTAGGAATGAAGCACAACTTTATGTAAATACAGGGCCGGCGCGTAGTATATATCCGATGGGGGTGGGGCACAAGTCTCTTTGTAGAGGGGAGGGGGACAGTGAATGTTAAATAATAATAATTTCCTTATAGTTAGTTCACATATTTTACTTTAGCATTGGGTAAACATTAGTAAAAAAAAAAAAATTATAAATGATGCATTGTATTAGATTTTAGAATTTTGGAAATATAAAATTATTCTTGTAAATAAACAATCAAATAAATAAACCTCAATGAAACCAGGAAGCCCAGAATGGTTAAAGAGCATACAAAGAGATAAATTGTTAAAATCGTGTTTAATTTCAAACATTATGTAAATGCAGGGCCGGCGCGTACTACTTCCGGAAACCTAACCGGGTGGTAGCCTGATTGGGGGCCCTCGGGCTGGGCTTTGTGATCCTCGCTATCCTATCAACATTTTCTTTTTTTCCTACCTACATTTATATAAACTAAATACAACTGGCTATTTAAAGGGTGATACATTTTCGCGGATTTTGACTTTTTGGGGGTGGGGATCGTCCAAATCTTTGAATTTTTATGTTTACTACGAAAGTTAATAAAAACATAAAAAGCATTATGCATTTTGAGAAGAAAACTGGCAGAATTTCTGCTGCCAGCTTAATAAATTATATATTAATGCACCACTTGCAATTAATTATTCCGATATTTACTGGGGAGTGGATGTATTCGAAACTGAACGTTGTGTATCAACCGAAAGAAATGTGGGGGGGAGAGAGAGAGAGAGGAAAACGAAGGAGAGGAGAGAAATGAGACAAGGAGAATAGAACGAAGAAAGAAAGAAACACGAACAAAAGAAGAGAAAGAAAAAAAAAATAGAATGAAAAAAAAAAATGGGGACAACCGGTGGCGGGGGGGGGGGCATAATATTTACATTTCTAAGACGCATGTGTATGCACTAAAAATTTCATTATGAATCATTTTACTTAGCAAACACTCAAAAAACGAGCAGACAGGTTGACAACGACCCCACGGCAAAAGTAAAATTACATCTTCATAAACGTTGAACATAAAGTAGGTATCAGTACACTACACACCTGCTATATACCCAACACACTTCTTAAGTCATAAACGAAATGTACTCACCCAAACATGCGCACATGTTCGAGTAGATAGCCACAATCATTTTCACAGATTCATGTGTACAATAATTAAACACGCCTACACGCCCAAATACACACAGTTTAGTACTGTTGGTGATGTTATAATAGTAATAGTGACTAGTCAATATGAAAGGAAGATGTTGCAGTCATCACATCGTATATGATACTTTAAGGAAACCAGCCATCCCTTACCAGACATTCACATGTCAATCATTATTACAATAGGGATAATGAACAATTTCTAAGTGGGAATTCTTTGAGAAGAAACAATCGTCGCTAACAACAACAAAAAAAAGTACTGTGTAAATTTCCGAATTAATTTAAGAAAATGAAACTTTTTAAATATACCGTTAAAAAAATCGATCTTTGAAATTAAATAAATTGAGGCATAAATTATCACAAACTGGGGAAAATTTCCCGTCTTGCAAGGGCTTTATGGAATTTTTATTTACAGGATCTATTAATCTGGCTTGATAATAATGGATGTGGCATGGAAAGTAGAGATAGAAAGAGAGAAGTAATTTCTTAAATCCTGTCGTGCTAGTAGTAGAGACCCAGTAACTTTCCACGATAAGTATTTATGAAAAACCGGAATAAAATTAAACCTATTTTGACAATTCAAATTCCTTTTGATTTTAGTTCAAAAGGTTTTTTTTTTAATTCAGTAAAAAAGAAAATGCATAAGTATTTTATTCTTCTTTTGATGGAACAGTGCTGTCAAATACGACAAAAAAAAAAATTTAGCAAACAACTGAAAAAGTAAGGACGCAGAAGATGAAAGAAAAAAGTTTTATAAAGAAAAAAAAAAATGTCATCCAGCAAAACTCAGTTTTGCTGGATGACATTAAAAGTTGCATTTTCATAATTGTTACCTACTTCGATTAGAAGCCTACGAGTGATGAAAAGATTTCCATTCAGTTTTAAATGGTCCTTGGCAATAAATTAATAAAAATAAAAACCTATATACGTGATAGGAACGAGATTATATACTTCGATTTTTGATAGTCTTTATTCATTTCGAGTGATTATGTGTTATTAATAATTAAAGGAAATATGTACATCCCCACTGAGTGGCATATCAAGATCCCATAACAATCTCCCTTCCTCTCTGTCACATGCACACGTAGACGAACACATCCATTAAAAAAAAAAAAAACAACAAACCTGTTGAATGCGAGACAACTTATTGTAACATTAACTAAAAAAAAAAAAATCCATCGAAGTACAAGTGTACTATTTTTTTATCTTATACGACTCTTCAAGTTTTTCTGTTTGATTATAATAATGAAAGAAAGAAGAATAAAAAATGTCGTATGCTGTTAAATAAATTATACACGACAATCATTCATAAATAAATATATATTTAACAGAAAATGCTAGCAGCAAATAAACAAAAAATATTTTTTAAATTAATGTCTATATATAAAAATTTTATATATATATGCACACACGCGTACAAATTATTGAACTTATTCAAATTCGTAAATCATTTAAAATTAAATGAATAAATTTAAATACTCTTTTCATTTTTAAAGGAAAGACGATCACTAAACAGTTTTTGCTGTCAATAGCCAACGTCTTAAGGTAAGACAATTCATATAAAATATAATTCTCCTGTCGTCTGCAATTTATTTGGATGACAGTCACAAACAGATGAAACACGTGTAAACCTTTGAAATATTAGAATAACAATAACCTACCTTCATTTTTTTTTTAGTAAATAATATCCCAAGTGTATACGATCCAACTCAGGTAAAAAGGCATAATTCCTAAAGTTGTGTATGTCTACCTGCAGTCTGAATGCTTTAATGTTTTATATATTGACACTCACACGCGTAAGTATTCTTCACTTACGTACAAAGCCATTCACTTACGTATGCCTGTACCTGCCAACCTACCTACCTTACCGACCAAACTCACTATTAATAGATAGTGCTGATATGCTCTTTCTCTTCATAAAAGGAATCCTCCGTGAAGAAAAAAAAAAAAAAAAAAACACACATTGGTGGGGGGTGCATAACGAAATACTGAGGCTATTTACCAAATAATACTTTGACGATGTATATTTGTTATTTTATTCTACTTAAAGAGCACAACGGATAAATGTACAGAAGCTTTAGTTTGTGTGTGTGTGTGTGTGTGTGTTTTATTTGTTTTTTTTTTTATACAGGTAAATGTAAGCTGACAGGTAAATTAATGTATGAATAAATAGACAGGTAAATGTATACGTAAGTAACAAATATATTCAGTTCATTCGGATTGATATGAAAATAATATTTAAATTGTTATTGAGGATTATAGAAGGGAGTTAAAAATTAAGCCTTAAATTAAAAACATCTATCTATCTATCTATCTATCTATCTATCTATCTATCTATATCTATCTATCTATCTATCTATCTATCTATCTATCTATCTATATATATATATATATATATAGAAAATGTGTGTCTGTATACTCTCTCTCTCTTTTCAAGGGAGTTTTGAATGTAACTTTGAAATTGCCACTCGCCAAGCAAAAAAATAAGTGAGTGGGGGAGCGACAAAAGCGAAAAAAAGTGGAGAGTGTGATAAAAGAAGAAATTAGGGGAGTGCAATAGAAGAGGAAAAAAGGTTGGGGGGCAAGAGAAGAGGAAAAAAAAAAAGGAAATAAGTAGATGCAATATAAGAGAAAGAAGTGCGAGAGAAAGAAGAGGAAAGGGATCGATAAGAGAGGAAGAAGAAAAAAGGGAGAGTGAGACAGGAGAAGGAACAGGAGGAACGAGACGATGGTGGTTTTGTAGAGAAGGAAGGAGCGAAGAAGAAAAAGGAAAGAGATAAGGCAGGAAGGAAAATACGGTGGGAACCTAGTTTATCAAACCATTCACATTAAAATAGAACAGAATCCTCTTCAAAATACTCCGCCGTTAAACACATTAAGTCTTGTCATCTTATCTAGCATGTTTCCCGGCGAACTACCGATTGTATCTGCGGTGTATGCGTCACTAAATGTTACTCAAAAACAGTTTGTCAAATCTTCAATGAAGCTGCCAGATTTATAAAATTAGTAATGTCTGGCCGCTCGTATCCGTGTCTGCCAGCCAATCCCTATTGCAGACGCCTGCTCAGACACATCTGTGTTTATTCAACAGCCCAGCTGTGGCTTATATACTGCAACTATGCTGAGCGGACGTTTCCGTGAGAGAGCGTGCATTATTTGGCGTGATCAACACGTTGGAACAAGGCCAGCACGTACAAACCCTCGGTCACGATGACTTGCGACTTCGTGCTAGAACAACGACTCTCAAATAGTTCCGTCTAACCAATTTCACTCCAAGACTTGGGTCAACCCGTGGTATGGTTTTCAGGCACTTTTCAAATGTGCCGTTGCCGATAACAGCAATAAATCACCTTCATGGTGAGATTCGAACCCGCATCTCATGGTCGGAATGCGAACGTTCTTCTAAACACGTGGCCACAATACAACACCCAATATAAAACCCAAGGACCACTCAAGGTAGAGGGTGATATTGTTGAAAGGGTGTAAGGGATAGTAACAGAAGTAGAGGTGCATATTTAAAAAAAAAAAAGAAAAGTCATTTCACCCCAGGCAAGGCGATAATACCACTAAGCTGCAGGGGGGGGGGGTACAGGGAGTGAAAGAGAGTGAGGAAAAGACAATAAAAGAACAGGTCTACAGGAAGACAGAAGATGGCAATTGACCTTGCATTTAAATTTATAGATTCAATTTAATCTTGAAGACTAAGTTTTAAGTGGTCGGAGAAGCATCCTCTTGGGTAACAGTTCTAGGAAAGAAACTGTTCGAGTGAAACTTCCCCCTCACGAATGGAATATGAAGTGAATAAGGATGATTTGACGCCGTTTACACGGCATGGCGAGTCCTAACTGTGAAGATCTGAACTTATGGAACTAAGGAATGTAGATTGAACATTTGACATATTCTATCGCTATTACTAACAACACTTCGTCTCGGAGAGGTGCTGCAAACAATTCACCACCTACAAGGCCATGCAATCGCTTTTGAACCCTGTAAAGACAGCAGCAGCCCTGATATGGTAGCAATACTCTATTCTTGTTTATTATATATTTATTAAACTTTGTACGGCAAAAGGTTTCAACAGTGACCGTGTTCTATATGCAACGGGGTTTTTATTTTCTAAGTGAAACGGTCGTACTTAGTGGCTTACATCCCCCGCCACCTCAATAACAGAAAACCTGGAATTTTTTAAAAAGTATTTCACCCCAGGTAAGGCGCTAATATCACTAGGCTGCAGGGGGGGGGGTTACAGGGAGTGAAAGAGAATAAGAAAACTTAGTGAGGAGAAGTGAGGTAAAGGACGTCGATAACTAAGTAAATAATAATAATATCAAAAGCAAATAGGGATCTTATAATTGTAAATTGCCCACTTATCTAAATTTAAAAGCTGCAAATCGGGCACAATCGCTCTATGGCCACTAAAAATGTTTGTCATCCCTAACCGAAATTTTCCTATTTACTGACTTAATTTCTCCACTACAAATCTTGGAAGATTATGTCGCGCCAATCATCCACAATGCAATTTGGGTTGGCCTTGTGCTGTACTAGGCTAGGCTAAGTAAATATAATTAACACTGCTTCACTTCAGCCCACCATATCACGTCACATTCTTCAGCTGGCTCAAGAAATTCACCTTGGGTCATAAAGATATTTATTGTCTTCAGTGGTCTCACTTGATAAACTTTTACTATCTGATTGACATGACTTGGCTTAGCTTACTGTTGCACTTCATTGTTTAATCATTTTATCTTTTCCCCCGTTTTTTTTTTTTTTGTTAGTTTTTTTTTTTTTAACCCATTTCTGTGGAATAAAACCAACGTCGTTTTAGAGCAAGTGTCAATGAAATAGTTAATTTGCTAACGTAAGTACATCTTAATCTGGCACAACATTTAATGGTATGGTGTTGGTAACAATCTTCCAAATAGGTTTGAGATTTACACAGTTGCCTCCCTTGGAATTTTGGCTTTTTACTTGGGGTTGGCTCCACGTGAAAGCGATTGATGTGTTTTTTTACGGCTTATCAACCTTTTGCAGTTTATTTAAAGTTGGAATATATTCTCCAATAAAAGTTCTACTATTTAACTCATAGAAAAGAGATAGACGCAAATACCCTTGGGAAATGGCTCTAAGTGAATATAACGAATCCATTTGGAATTCGAACTCAGCTCTCCGATTTCTCATTCGAAGATATTATCCATTACACCACCCGCACATCCAAACTTACAGCACCTGGTCTGGCGAAAGCAATATGCAACTATCCCAACTCTAATGGAAATCTATTTAAATATTCCGTTAACAAAAACATTTTTCTTCTTTACAAAAAACTTAGTACGACATAAGGCCAAATGAAATGAGGCAGTTATGTTTCACTCAGCTTCCAAATGGGATAAGTTTGCTTGGTTTGCAATCCACATTCGAAAATCTGCTGATTTTTTTTTTTTAATTTCTTTTTTATTACCCTGTAGTCGTTGTGCGAATCCATCCATTTCAGCCAAAAAAAAAAAAAAAAAATAGGCCGAGATTATTATTTATATCTTTACAATTAAAAAGATATCTAGTGGCCACCACCACCTCTGTTGCAATTACAAATATCATTCCTCCTTAGTTTAACTTAACTGAAGCATGCGCCTTTAGAGGGAGTGAAAAGAGAGGTTATAGAGAAAACCACGGAGAAGAAGGAAAAAAAAAAAATTTCCTCCAGTTTTTCTCGTCGGAACATTTTTCGCTTTTGTTTTTATTTGAGATATTCACAACAGTTTTTGGGAAATTTAAGCCCGAACTGGGACGCCTTTTTTTTCTTTTTTTTTATTATTGGTCTGAAAGTCTTCATTGACCAATCGCAAGGAGGAAATTATTTTAAAGATAAGTTCAACCTGTCCGACTGCATAACTTGTGTATAATATTTTGGAGGTGACTGATAGGGGAGGGGATCAGTTGTCGCCACCGAATATTTTGTTTATTTACTGGATCAACTAAATCTAGGAAAAGAGAAACGGCCAGAAAAAAACCCAAAAAAACAAACTATATTTTATTCCAAATGTTTCCAAGTACAACAACCATAACTTTACAGCGAGGGATCTATAACCATCTGCTTAATCTAGTCTAGGTATATATATATATATATATATATTCTCTTAAGGTGTGCTATATTTGAGATAAAGTGTTTACTATCAGAGATAGAGCGTGTGTAAATATAAAAGTGAACATTGAAGTCAACACTTAGAGACGACAGGCTATTTCATGCTATACGCAATTGTCAGGCCTATATATATATATATATATATATATATATATGTTGGCACTTTCCTTTTGAAAAAAGTGAAGAAAAAAAGACTGTATATTTCGGGAGCATCCAGGGAAAACAAGCACCAGTTTGAAAAAATCGCATTGCATGAAACAGTCTGTTCATTGGCAAATAAAAGAAATCTTATGCATAGTAAAAGGCTATTTTGAAAGTATTGAAAATAGAGCACTCTTATATAGATATGAAGCTTTCGGTCATATCTTGTTGAGACACCGGTTCTCGTAAGGTCGCAGAGGTTAAGCAACGTCGAGACTGGGTGTGTGGATGGTGTAATGGATAACGGCTCGGAATTTGAAAATCGGAGAGTCAGATTCCAATACCAGTCGTTCATTATATTCACTTACGCGCAAATATCCTTGGAAAAGTTAAATCCACCTTTCCTCCCCCAGCTATGGGTTAATCACCAGGACTTATATCAGTAAATCATTATCTCCAAAAAATTGTTAAAAAAAATTTCTAACTTTAACCTGCAAAAAGTAGATAAGCAGTAAAAAAAAAAGAAAAAATAAACTAATCAATCACTCAATATACATAAGAAACACCCACACATGCATATATATATACACACATTATATATATATATATATATATATCGTGTGTGCTCCTTCATAATGTAGATAACATTCTTTATTCATGAATTGACATATCCACTTATGAAAAATACAGAAGTGATTTCTCATTTCCTTCTCCACGGTTTTCAATTCGACGAAGACTTTATCCTAGACTGGTTTCCACCCAAGGATAAAGAAAACGGTACATGTTGCTATTTAACCCATAGCTAGGAGAAGTGGTTGATTCATGTCTTTTCTCAAGGGCATTGGTTCAAAAGTGAAAGCAGTAAAATAGACTACGCCAGAATTTCAATTCGGTTCGCCAAATTCACTTTTGGCATCAATAACGCTTGTGCTACCCGCAAATCTAAAATAGAACACTAACCGGTGTAGACAGCTTGGTTCTCGTAAATACCGTAATATTTTGATCATGTGTGTGAAATATGATATATATATATAAAACCATAATTTGTATTAAAGTTTTGAGTAAGACTAATCTCATTCGCTGCGCCGCACAACGGGTAAGCAAGTTCGTCTTGAAGAGGCAATTAATACTGTAGTGAGTGACGCTCGTCTTTGGGGTGTCTCATTTCCGTGGCTTTGTATCAAAGGTGTATAAATAAAAAGGACGCCTTAGGAACAATACGATAGTTAACAAACTGATATCTAAGACTTACGTAACGAGATCAATTCACATTGGATGCTTCATTGCTGTTGCTAAACTTAGTAAATAAGTGTTTTTTTTGTTTTTTTATAAAATAAATACATCTCATTTAAATACAAGCAAGGTGATAAAGCCACTAATGCGCAAGAGGTTACCAAGAGTGAATTTGATTAATTTATGCTTTACGGCTTAGCAACCTTTTGCAGGTTATTTAAAACCAGAAAATAATTTTAGATTGTAAAATTCTTTTGGAGATAATAATGATTTTTACTGATACAAGTTCAACTAAC